TGGCAGCCTTGGCCTTTGTAAGCCGCATCGAGTCCTTCGGGAGATTTTGCGGGGTATAAATAAAGGTAATAATAATAATAATAATAATAATAATAACAACAACAACAACAATCCTATCTCATCAGCCAAAAGCAGGCCCACACTTCTCATTGAAATACTAATAAGTTTATATTTGTTAAAATTGTTCGTTTTTATTATTGTATTGTTTTTAAGTGTTTTTGCACTACAAATAAGATATGTGCAGTGTGCATAGGAATTTATTCATTTTTTTCAAATTATAATCTGGCCCTCCAACAGTTTGAGGGACTGTGACCTGGCCCTCTGTTTAAAAAGTTTGAGGACCCCTGATCTACAGAGATACTCACAGGAACACCTCAGTAAGTGAGAGTCCAAAAATGACAGGCTAAAACCCGGAACCTCAAGCCATGGCTGATACCGAATGAGAAACTCCACAAAAGGCACACAGAAGACTGGGTGACTTGGAAGGCACTAAACAGACTGTGCTCTGGCACCATGAGATGCAAAGCCAACCTTAAGAAATGGGGCCACAAAGTGTCCATAACATGCAAGTGTGGAGAAGAGCAAACCACAAACCACCTGTTACAATGCAGTCTGAGCCTTGCCACATGCACAATGGAGGACCTTTTTATAGCAGCACCAGAGGCACTCCAAGTGGCAAGGTACTGGTAAAAGGACATCTAATATAATGGCAAGTTTTTAAAATGTTTTGTTTAAAAAATACATTACAACTGTACCCTTGGTTCGCTTCCGATATGATAAATACGGTAAATAAATATCATGAAAAATGTATTATGAGATATTCCAAAATGAAATAGTGCCAGAAGATGAGACCTTAGGTCAGATGGCACTCAGTTGGCTACTGTATTGCAGCAGAGGACAACTATGAATATTTCAGTCCCCCCAAACAGAGATACTGGTTATTGCAGTAGCCTCAGGTCAATTGCAATTTTAGTAAAAATTCTAAAACAAACACTTCTATTATATATGGAGCAAGAAATTCCAAAGTGGGGTTCAGGAGAGGCACTAAAGTTCACATTGCAAACATATGTTGGTTAACACAGTGCATAAAAGAAAACCAGTCTGAGTTTTGTAGACTATAACAAAGCTTTTGATTTTACATAGTTCATGAAAAACTGTGGATCACTCTTAAAGAAGTGGATGTGTCACAACATTGATTGTCTTGATGGGTAACTTGTACTTAGGATAAGAGGTTACTGTTATGTTAAAATATAGAGAAATGGAATAATATTTTAGAGGAATAATAATAATAACAACAATAACAATAATACATCTTATTTGTTACCAGCTTCTCCCAATGGATTGGGGGGGGGGGGTACAATAAAGTATGTATGAATGGTTTGTAATTGCTAAGAGCATCAGGCAAGACTGCATTTATCATCTCATTTATTTAACTTGTATACTTAAGATAAAATGTGTAAAGAAGGCTTAGACCAGGGGTCCTCAAACTTTTTTAAACAGAGGACCAGGCCACAGTCCCTCAAACTGTTGGAGGGCCAGATTATAATTTGGAAAAAAAACAAACCATGAATGAATATGCACACTGCACATATCTTATTTGTAGTGCAAAAAAACAAAAACAAAAACCCAACACTTAAAAACAATACAATAATTAAAATGAACAACAATTTTAACAAATATAAACTTATTAGTATTTCAGTGGTAAGTGTGGGCCTGCTTTTGGCTGATGAGATAGGATTGTTGTTATTGTTGTGTGCTTTCAAGTCATCTCAGACTTAGGTTGACCCTGAGCGAGGGCCAGGTAAATGACCTTGGAGGGCTGTCTCTGGCCCCCAGGCTTAGACTAAGAGGAAGGAAGTATGAAAAATGGAAGAAAGGAAATCACCAATTTAAAATGACATCAATACTACTAGCAAAAATTAGCAAACACTTGGAATGATTACTGCAGGAAGTCAAAGAAGAAAGTACATGGCAGGTATAGATGTGAACATGAAAACGTAATGACCACATCTAATTTATATAAGTTTAATGTAGATGATGAAGACAGTTAAATACTTCAATATTTTCATATCTTGATTCAGTCATTAATGAGAATTGAGATTGTCATCAAGAAATCAGAAAAAGATTAGGACTTGGAAGGACTGTAAATGTATTAAAGTTAAGATTGCCCAGGCAAGTAGATTTCCAATTTCTGTGTGTGGTTGTGGAAGTTGGAAAATGAAGAAAGGCAACAGGAAAAAATTTGACGTGTGGTACTAGAGAAGAATTCTGTGGATACTCTGGACAGTTGAAAAGAACTCATCAAATGAATGGATCCTAGAGCAAAGCAATTCTGAACTAGAAGCTTTGAGGACTAAAATGAGACTGTCACTCTTTGATCATATAATTTTTTTGTCATGTCAGGAGCGACTTGAGAAACTGCAAGTCGGTTCTGGTGTGAGAGAATTGGCTGTCTGCAAGGACCTTGCCCGGGGGACGCCCAGATGATTTGATGTTTTTATCATTCTTGTGGGAGGCTTCTCTCATGTCCCCGCATGAGGAGCTGGAGCTGATAGAGGGAGCTCATCTGCCTCTCCCCAGATTTGAACCTGTGACCTGTCGGTCTTCAGTCCTGCTGGCACAGGGGTTTAACCCACTGCGCCACCGGGGGCTCCACGATCATATCATAAGAAGACATGATTAATTAGAAGGTAAAATAGATGGCAACAGGCAAAGAGGAAGACCACACTGCACATGGATAGACTCCATTAAGAAAGTTACGGCCTTGAGTCTGCAGGACCTGAGAAGGTTAGTGAGAATTGAATGACTTTGTAGGCCTTGCATTAATAAGGGTGCAATAAGTTGATAGCAGTTGAAAACAAATGGATATGGCATGACACTTACTGTTATAATTATTTGGTTTTAATGTATATGTTTTGTTTTATCCTATGTATGCATGTGGCAATGAATTATGCCTTTTTTGTGAGCCGCCATGAGTCCCCTTTGGGGTAAGAAGGGCAGGATATAAATATAAGGGGTGATTCCGTCAGAACATGTGAAGAGGTCCATAGAATTCTGTAGTTCAAGAAGGTTATTGAGAAGCTGTAATGTATTCAGAAGAGGAAAATTAAATACCGGAAAGGAAGTCATATAGAAGATGGGATCATCTTACTTTTTCCAGGTCCAGACAATAGTTCTTGGAGCAACTGATTCTATTACAAGAAAAGAGATTCCACCTAAACATTTAGAAGAATGTATTGTCGAAGACTTTCATGGCTGGAATCACTGGGTTGTTGTAGGTTTTTTCGGGCTATATGGCCATGTTCTAGAGGCAATATATATGCCTCTAGAACATGGTCATATAGCCCGAAAAAGCCTACAACAACCATTTTAGAAGAATGTTCTGAATTTGGAAAGTGACTTGCTTTCTTTGGAAGACATTCAAGCAGAGCTTTCTAACCTGTGTGTTGCGACATATTATATTGTTGGTTGTAGTGTGTAGGTGTGTTGCGTGAACATAATGAGAAATGACCAAAAAATTAGAAATGTATGTTATTTTCTTACAAATCATATCAGAACTTGAAAGGTTTTAACGATATATATTGTGCTCCCATACATTTCCTTATTAGAATTAATGTTTGTGTCTCTTATATGGGTTTGATCTAATCTCCAGTTTGCTAGTAAAACTGAATTACTGTTCCATGAAATGAAGCATGTCTAAAACATGTCATGTTTCTCAATGCCTAAATGCATATGTTCTTATTCTGACGTTTGTACATTTCTTGGTGCTGGTCACTGACAGTAAATAAATGTATGTCTTACATAGAAAACATGTCACCAACATGAAATGCTTGGAAAACTCTGCTTTAAAGAAACTCATCAGTACTTCAACTGTGGATTCCTGCATGACAAGAGGTAACCTAGGGCCCTTCCACACAGCCCTATATCCCAGAATATCAAGGTAGGAAATCCCACATTATCTGAGTATGGACTCAGATAACCCAGGTCAAAGCAGATATTGTGGAATTTTTTGCCTTGATCTTCTGAGATATAGGGGTGTGTGGAAGGGCCCCTAGACGGCTTTTTCAGTTCTTTCCAACTATATGATGCTATGTTTCTACTAATATATTTTTATTTGTTGCTAGATGGCTATCAGTGAGAGAATGCACGCTCTAAATTCCAGATGTCTATTTACCTGTTGAATTCAATCAAATGGAGAAAAAATCAAAATGTAATCACACAACGGTCAGTTCAGTATTTGGATCATGTTTAGGACAACAGCTCTGAGATATCCTTCCTGATCCAAACTGGGAGTTTGATAGGGGAAATAGACAATTTAATTTTTTGATTCTGTTATTATTATGTATCACCATTTTTTTGCAGTTCTGTTTGCTAAATATAATGTAATCATGCAAGATAAGAAATGTAAAATCAAAAAGAAAGTAAACTAATTTCATTATACTAAACATTATGATTTCTGTTATAAGAAAACTAAACAGAATATAATTTTCCAAAAAACCCAAAAAAACAACAAAACTGGTAGAACAATGTATTACAGTACAATACAATGTTTTCCCAGTTGCTTTTTCTTGGCGAATTGTATTTTGTTCAAGACTGTATTATAAGATCTGACCAACAGAGGGCAGACAAAACCAGCATATACTACTCAGAAGACTCGTTACTTGTAATAGGATGATTTCCCTATTTACCCATGAGAAGCAAAGAGTATGCTCCCATGAATTAAAGTTCAAGGTTATCAGTTTTCCTAAAACTATAATGTCTTATAGAAAATCTTCCATATTATTTGGAAATATTCATGCAATTTGCATGCAGGTGATTATACACTATGTGCTATAAACATCCAATTTTCATTTATTTATTATTTTTAAAATGAAATCTATTGCTTTAGTGGTTTTCAAATGTAGATGAAGTGAGGATTTCAACACCACAATGTCCAGCTTCTCCATTCTGAACAGAAAGCAACAGAAATATGAAAATGTAAACTATACCATGGTTCTCACCTGAGCGTTGTCATCACTGCTGAGATTTTCACCCAGAAATTCATTCCCAATTCCTGAATCATCAGTAGTAATGGGATTATCTGTGACTGTCAACTGGTTTGATTTTGGGAAGGCAAACACATTTGGAACTGACTTGGAGGCTAAGCATACTTCATAGGAGTATGGCAGTGGCAATGTCCCATTACTGTAATTGCAGGAAAATTTGTGTCCCAGGCTAGAGTATAATTCAGTATTATAGGAACCCAACACTGCTCGATTTCTCTGTCTCCAACATTTCAGTATTAAAACAGCTATGGCAGTCAAAAGGAAGAGAAACGAGATCAAAGCTAAGGCTATTATCAAAATTGTATTCATGTCAGACTGATATTCTGAGTCATTGGGTAGCTTGTTCATCTCTGGAAGTGCCTCTTGGAAGTTCTCAGCAAACACCAGATTCAGAGTTACAGTAGCTGAAAGAGATGGATTTCCATTATCCTTCACTAAAATGGTCAGCTTTTGCTTCACAGCATCTTTTTCTGTAAAGGCCCGGGCTATCTTGATTTCACCGGTATGAAGCCCAATGCTGAAAAGTGTTGGCTCAACAGTCTGAAGCTGCTGATAGGAGAGCCAGGCATTGTGTCCAGAATCAGCATCCACTGCCACCACTTTGGTCACTAAATAGCCTGACTCAGAAGACCGAGGCACCATCTCAAATAGGGCTGAGCCATCAGTGTCTAATAAAGGATACAGGATCCGAGGACTGTTATCATTCTGATCCAGAATGAACACCTGCACCGTGACACTGCTGCTGAGAGAAGGGGACCCACCATCCTGTGCCTTCACTTGAATATGGAATTCCCTGAATTGCTCATAGTCAAAGGAACGTTGTGCATAGATTGTCCCAGTCTCAGAGTTAATGGAGACAAAAGAGGAGAGAGGTAGCTCATCAATGTTGCTGTTGAGGATGGAGTATGTGACCTGTCCATTGTGGTCCAGATCTGGGTCTGAGGCTTTGATTGTATAAATGGAAGCTCCTGATGGATTGTTTTCTGATACAAAGACATGGTAAGTTGATTCTTCAAAAGTTGGAGAATTGTCATTGACATCTGAAATGTACACTGTGATGGTTTTTTGAGTGGAAAGAGAAGGGGTGCCTTTGTCAGTGGCTGTGATTGAGATATTATACTCCGAGTGCTTTTCTCTGTCCAGGGGACCATCTGTGAGGAGCTTGTAGTAAGTGTTAGATGAGGACAGAATTTTAAAAGGCAAATTGTTTTGTATATAGCAAACAGTCTTCCCACTTTCTCCTTCATCTCTATCAGCAACACTGATTAAAGCAATAACGGTTCCTGGGAGGGAGTCCTCAGGAATGGGACTAAATACAGATGTTAGTGAAATCTCTGGAGCATTGTCATTTTCATCAAGAACATCAACCTCAACTTTACAGTGTGCTAATAGTCCACCACCATCCCTGGCCTCCACTAACATCATATAGCTTGTGGATTCTTCAAAGTCCAAAGGCTCCCGAATGGAAATAATTCCACTTTCTGGATCCAGGCTAAATTTCAAACTGGCTTTAGCAGGGATATTGCTAAAACTGTAGCTGATTTGTCCATTAGTACCATAATCTGCATCAGTAGCTTTCACCTGTGTCACCAAAGTTCCCTTGGATACTGTTTCCTTTAGGCTGGATTTGTAGGTTTCCTGGGTGAAAATGGGTGGATTGTCATTGGCATCAGTAATGTTAATCCATATTTGAGCTGTGCCAGTTTTAAATGGCTCACCCCCATCTAGGCCTGTAAGGATTAAATGGAGGCTATGTTCACTTTCCCGGTCCAGTGGTTTTCTTTGGATTAAAACTGGGTATTTATTTCCATCTGGACTTTCTTTAACATCCAAGGTAAAGTACTCATTAGAGCTCAATTGGTAATTCTGAAGAGAATTTACCCCAACATCAGGATCTTCAGCACCTCCAAGAGGAAATATGGCTCCAATTGGACTGGATTCGCTTATTTCCAGCCTGATATAATCTTTTAAAAAATTAGGTGCATTATCATTAATATCTTCTATGGTGACAGTTATATGAAAAATGTTCAGAGGGTTTTCAACCACAATTTCAAAGTTAAGGACACAATGTGGAGATTTCCCACACAGCTCTTCTCGATCTATTCTGTCCCTTACAAAGAAATCTCCACGCTCCCCATTCACAGCAAAGAATTGTGCATTGGCTGCAGAGACAAGTCGGAGCTTCCTCTTTGATAAATCTCTCTTGTTTAGACCCAAATCCTTAGCAAGAGACCCCACAAGAAAGCCCTTCTCCCTTTCCTCAGGAACTGAATACGAAACCTCTTCTGAGAATGCCAGGCAGAACAAAGAGATTAACAAGGAAAGCTGTACTTGCCGCCCAAATGGCTGGCTGCTCCAACTCAGTGTGGTCTTCATTTCCTCGGCTTCTTTGTTTGCATTCTTTTTTTGCTGATTTGTGTTGTCAAGTTTCTTTCAGGCTGCAATAAGTTGTTATCAGAAACAAGCATCACTCCTTCATGCTCTTTTAATGGGATAACGTTTTTTGATTGGATGCTCTCCTCTTGTCCTACGATTCTGTCTTCTATTAGATTTGCAGAACTTAACTCAATAATTGTGGCACGATCACAGGAAAAGTGAATGGATCCCTTCCTTCTCTCCTTCTCCCACATTGGCCAACAGCGGCACTCTGAGTTTCAGCAGGAAAACTGCATCCAGTGGATCAACGTCTTAATAGAGTTCTGGTGGCTAAGCAGCAAAGCTTTGTACAACATGGATGCAGTGTGTATACAGTTATTCTTTCGTGCGTGTACATTTTATAGTTCAATTAAACAGATAAATGGAGAAATAAATATATTAAAATAACCATAGGTTTGAGTAAACATATAATGAATGTAGGAAGCATTCTCAAATATACAATGACTCGGGATCCGAAGTATATATTTCCTTAAGTATCTATTTCTAAATCCGCACAATTTCCCAGGATCTTGCATGTATATTCTGAGGATTTATTTGGTTTTTGGCCTTGTAACTCAAATGTAGACATAGGCTAAAGATAGAGAACAGGTTTTTGTAAGCAAAATATCAGGAAAAGGCTTGTTTACAAAATTATGCTTTGAAATATCCTACTAAAATTGGCCAATAAGCACACAACTTAATTGAATATTCTTGTAATGTCTCCATTAAATGTTTATTCTCAGGATTTATAAACCTAATTTCTTTTGAATTGTGTGTGGATAGTTAAGACAGAAAATATGAAGTGGAACGAAAGAAATAGATGAGAGCAATACTCAGCTCTCACACCATCTTTTAAACTGTTTCTTGGTATGGTAGCAGAATTTCTGAGAGTCAGATCTGTATGTAATACACATGGTGTTTGTGTTTTAATTGATTGTTTTTTGTTTTTATGTCTTGTGGACACTTTGTCCCAGATGTAAGCCACCCAAGTCCCTTCAAGGAGATGATGGCGGGGTATAAGAATAAAGTTGATATTATTATTATTATTATTATTATTATTATTATTATTATTATTATTATTTGTGAACATAGCTCACCATTCCTATAAAATAGGAACAGGATCTGCATCCACTTAGTGACCAGGTAATTAAACTGAGAGATTAGATGAGCCATGTCTACTGCAGTAGAGAGAACAGTGGAGAGGGAAGCTTACACGATTTAGTAAAATTATCAACATTACGTACGTGACCTATGTGACTAGAACAAGTTATTGCTGAGTTTTGTTCCCAGTTTGGCCCACTGTTTTACTTTCACTACTTACCATAAGGAATGAGTCACTGGATGACTGGGAAAAGATTGCTCAGATTTGATGATGAGTAATGATAGAAGAAAATTGTCCAGTTCATTGGTCTCTGACTCTGATGGTTATGGAGTACGCAACCATGTTCAACTAAGATTTCCAACTAGCAACACATAATAATAATAATAATAATAATAATAATAATAACAATAATAATAATGGTCACTTCAAACTGATCATATAGTTTCCCCACCATCTCTTGAATCTTTGTTTTGCACATTTTAGGCAAGCTGCATCTCACCCTTTTGAGGGATTTCTGACAGTGAAGCAATAAGGAAAGCTGTGGCTAATTCAAAATCATGCTCATACACATAAGGAAGTTAGCAATTACCATTTTTAGTATGCCAGATAGATATATCAAATAGGTTATTTTGATTTCAGTTTCCTATTGACTAGACTTTCCAAAGTCCAAGCCTCTCACAAAAGCTTCTGTGATTGAATGGAGATGGGGTATCTGGGATACTTTTGAGTTACTTTCAGATACTTTCTGATTGACTTTGTTAGTACCTTTGTACATGTCAACAGTTTTTACGGTAATCGCTCAGGATCTTCTGGGTCCAATTTTGATAGTCAACTATAGAAGGAAGCTTGTCAATTCAATTTTTTGTCATATATATCAAGAACTACAATGTGAATATTTGTACTCCTGGAATTCCCTGGGGCCTTCCCCATATGTTGTCAGGACCAGATGGTCAGCGGCTTCTTCTTCATGGTTGAGAGACTCTGTAGCATTAATATAGCATATTCAGAGTAAAAAATAACTATTTATCCCAACTTTGTAATAGTGGAGAGAATTGGTTTCCAAGACAAAACCTTATGCCTCATGGGCAATGGAGCTGTTCTTCACTCCCTGGTGACTATTATTTTCACTATCTTTAATATTGTTCTTTCTGTGAGATATGTATTCATTGAGTTTTCATGTATATTCTCAAAATTAATTATTCATTGAGATTTCATGTATATTCTCAAAATTCATTATGCACTTCTTTGCTTGGCCACAGAACTCCTCTCTGTCCATTCTGTGGTATACAGATGGGTACTTTTGAAATTCAGAGGAAGATTCTTAGACCTACCTTTGGAAACAGTATGCATTCTTCTCTATATCTTTTATATCAAGTCCATCACTTCAGTTGTGTTATCAATGAGAGATATTGAATGTTTATTCTGAGAAACTGAATAACTTTTTAAAGAATTGTTTTCCATATTTCATTGCTGCATTTGTGCCATGAAAACCTCTTCTCTACTCTGTGTTGCCTGTATATCTACATATGTATATCCTGCATTTTGGTTGAATGAACAGACAAACAAAATCATCTTTGATCAGACTGGGGCCCTTTCCACACTGCCCCTATATCCCAAGATCTGATCCCAGATTATCTTCTTATCTCAGATTATCTGGCAGTGGAGACTCATATAATCCAGTTTAAAGCAAATCATTTGGGATCAGATCCTGGGATATAAGGCAGTGTGGAAGCGGCCAGAATAATTTTACATCACAGGTTGCTAAATTTTGAAGCTACTTTGCTTCTGTATGATCATTGGAGCTAGGCATGATTGATCTCAGTGCCTGACACAATAGTGGCACTCAGAGCTTCAATCTTGCCCTGCACAGGCAGGAATTCTGGATTTTTGCAATGGTGATTTCATGTCATTCATTTGCTACTTCCTCATCTAATTATTATGGGCATAACTACAAGATCCAGCATCTGGACATATTGATGGAAAAGTATGTCGACATGTTATTCAATACAATTATTTCATCTTAACTGCTGTGATGAGCAGCTATTTCGAATAGTTTGCGAGTGATATGTCACCACTTTTTCCATGGATCATATTATGAAGAAACACCAAAATTATTTCAATTTATACATTTGTTTTCTTAATATTTCCACTTGTGGACTGTGTCTCAGTATTTTCTTGTAACATTTTGACTAAATTTATCAATAGGTGACAAGAAGCTTTAAAGCCATGCATGCACAATGCGGTAGTGATCATATAAATTATTTGTTAGTTGGAGATTTTATTTATTATTATTATTTATAGTATTTATACCCAATTTTCTCTCTCTCAGAGTAGACTTAGTGGTGAACACTAAAAATCACACAATGTGTAATCTAAAACCTAAAGCGTATAAACATTAAAATAAAATTAAATATGGAACTTATTAGAAAGACATAGTTAAAACCAGTGAAATCATTAAAACCATTAAAAAAACTATATAAAACAAAAACCACCTGGTTCGGTCTTAAAACTTTTCTCTCCAAAAGCCTGCCTGCATGAGAAGATTTTAGCCTGTTGCTGGAAGGACAACAGAGAAGGGGCCATTCTGGTTTCCTTGGGAAGAAGAGAGTTCCAGAGTTGAGGGGCAACCACCGGGAAGGTCCTCTTTCACATTCCCACCAACTGAGCTTCCAATGTTGGTGGAACCAAGAGAAGGGCCTCCCCTGAGGATCTCAGGGTCTTGGCTGGTTCGTATAGGGACATCTGATCTGGCAAAGATCTTTGTTGTCATCTCCATTCTCAATATTATCTCTACAGAATGTAACACTCCTCCTCTTAGTGTTTTGTCACCACCCCCACCTCCCATCCCCAAGAACAGCTGCCACAAATTCCACCCAGCATGGCTAGGACAGGACCTCTGTGAAAGAATCAGCTTTCTGCTGACTACAGAATTGTTGCTGTACAATATTCTGGACTTCAAATAGTAAAGTTTGCAAGATTGAGAAACCAAAAAAAAGAAGTTGGACAGAATCAGGTACTTTTGACTTTCATACTTGCCATTTAGTGGGTTTTGCCCCCCCCCCCCCCCCCCGCAGAATAACTAAAATGATTTATCAAAGACAGCTGAAACAATTAGATTTTTATATTTGTTCCACCATGTTATCTGGTGTAATATCTTATATTTGAATCTTGAACTAATCATGAAAGAACTCATCCTAGTGAAATATTACAAATAACCAAATATTACATTCCCTCTACTTTCATCAAAGGCTTTCTTAAAGAGGTTGTGCTTACATCTGTTTCACAGACTCCTGATGGGCATTTCTAAATTACCATAATGAGGAACTTTAAAAACAGCAGAATCTCCTATTATTGTTGTCTTGACAGTTCACAAATAAAATGTGTAGAAAAGTGTTTAGAGATCAGATAATATTTTGAGATGTCATTGACACAAACATGCTTTTTTGCAGATGCAGGTACAGAAAGAAGAATAAAGATTAAGGAAAACAACAACCATATGGACCATACTATGTAATGCCTTACCGGCATTATCTTGATTTTATGAGAACACCCTACAATGAATGACAGACTATGTAAAATAGAGAATACTTCACACATGGGAAAGTGTTTTTCTTTCTTTAAGGAGTCATTACAGCCAACTTTTACATTTCTACTCCTGGTGCATTGCATTGAAAATAGTGTGACCAAGATTCAACATGGTGCTTGCCTGCATGCTGTTTTGGATTTACCCAGTGAACCTTTAAGACTCTGAATATTTGATCTCCATGTCACATTAAAACCATTTTGGAAACCCAGGGAGATACTACTGAACAAATTTAAGCAAAGAGTCTTGATGTCTTTAAATCCTGTCTTATTTCTAGCAAACAATGTAAAGGATATCTCCTATTACCATTAAATACACATTATACATAACCAGAAGCCTGCAGCAAAACAACATAAGGGTGTCCCCACATCACTGTAACATCTGGCTCACTTTTGAGGTATGCAATGTTCTAACTGACCTGCCAGCATCAATTCCCACCTTATCCAGGCAATCCCTGAGTTACAGACATCCAACTTACAAACAATACTTAGTTAAGAACGGGGGGTGAGACAACAGGAAGTGAAAGAAATCTACCCCTAGGAAAGGAAATTCAGCCCTGAAAGGGTTATCATGGGAAAAAAGTGTCTCCACTGAATCTTTATCA